AGTATGAAGGGAAATGACATGGCGGCAAGGACGCCGTAGCTGCACTCCATGGGCGCCAGCGACATTGTTGCCGCAGATGCCGAGGTGGGCGTGGCCACGCGTGGGGCATGCTGCAGGTGAAGAGCCGGCGCGATGGGATGGATTTTGGGTGAAGAAGTGCATCTACAGTGTGGCCAGCTGTATGTCAGCTGGCAGTGAACATCATGGGAAATGACCAGCACCGTTGGATTCAGCATGGTCGAAAACCCCCGAGGCCCGAATCCCAACTGCTTTTCTCTTCTTCTAAAGGAAAAAACGCTCTGCACCCAACATGCACCCATTTTACGTTATCCAATGGATAACGTAAATGTTCGTCATATACGAACAATGTGCGTATATAACGAACACGATTTTGGCTTGGCCAGTAGTTAAGCGAAAACTGGACCGCGATTTACGTTTCCACAGGGTATCGTAGACGGCTTTTTAGTGGCAATTGTGCGGTGTTTGGTGCAGTGTGCACAGAGGGCATCGTGAACGACGGCACTATCATTCAATTTCAACTCCAACCACTGCGGTGAGTTTTTCTTTTCTTTTTTGTGTTTGTTCTGCTAGTTTTGATGAATGTTATTATTATTATTCAATGTATTTTATTGTGCTCTCGGTGTTTAGCCGGCGGGGGGTTGGATAACGGCAGAACTTTCAAGATTCTAGCCCTTTCCAACTCGCTTGTCGGCTTCCTTCCGAAGTTGCACTTATTTTGCCAAGTGAATCGCTTCTCTTGGATTCTTTTGTGTGAGTGTTTGAGCGAGAATGTGTATGTGTGTGAGTGCATTTGACTGTATAAGAAATGTTTTCATTTGGTTGTTTGATTGTTTTGCGATGTTACATTGCTATGCCAAAACGCTAAAAATGCTAAACAGCCAAACGTTCGGCCAGCCAGCCGAATATGGAAACCCCTTCCTCATGGATTACAGTATGCACTGCAGAGGGGTGTGCAATCGATGAACGGATGAGGGATCCAGTAAATATGAGAGCGTAATTTTACTAACCCAAATTCGGCTAGCCAGCCGAACGATCGGCCAGCCAGCCGAACGATCGGCCAGCCAGCCGAACGATCGGCCAGCCAGCCGAATATGGAAACCCCTTCCTCGTGGATTACAGTATGCACTGCTGAGGGGTGCGCAATCGATGAACGGATGAGAGATTCGGTAAACATGAGTGCATAATTCTATTTTCCCAAAATCGTCATCTTAATCTCCGCCTATCAATTCGAGATCGTAAAAGCGCCTTAAAGCATATTGAGGCATAGTTGGCTTACAGCATCGGACACGGTAGCCGAACCACGCCTCGCATTGTTCTGAATGGTTGATTAGTCAATGCAATGAAGGCATCTGTAGCGAATCGGATCGGTTCACGGCGCGAACTTGCCTTCCCGTACCTCGCTGGTCAGTGTAGGACGACACATGGTCTAATGGTAGCATTAAATGATTCAACGTTCGTTCAACGTTTAAAAAATGAGTATTTTAGAACCTCTCCTCCTACAGACATGACCTCAGGAACATGGTGCGACTTCCCCATCACCACTGCAGTGGAGGCCTGGGGGCACCGGAAAACTTGCTCCTCCGGGAAGAATCAGTTTCACTGGCTTTCCCACTGACACCCCACTCGAACCGCGCAATCGCTATCCCCATTGCTACATGAGCGTCCCGGTTTATTGGCACTATACATGTATATACGTGTGAGAGAATCAAAACACTGACCACGAGCTCCATACAACTCCACCCACTCCCCTAGCCGAGCCATGGAATCTCCGAAATTGCACTCAAAATGCAGCTACGATCCTTTATAAAGTGAAGACTGTACGCAAAACCGGACGTCTCATGCATCAAATTAGGTAAAATCAAAACAAAAGTTTCCAAATATTTCTCATTTCTCAAAACTAGAGACTTTATGCACGTTCGAAATCCGCATCTGAAAACCTATCTACAAATCATTTTAAAATACATCTACGGATAAATGATTTTTATTCCATTCAGCAATATCTATTCGCTAACATCTCGAGTGTGGCCCTGGGCCGTCAGGTTAGATGTATAGCTGAGTAGGTCGGCTTCATATCCATCGAAACCGTGCAGGGTACGTCGATGGCGTTTCGAAACGTTGATCACGTCCTTAGAACACTTATTCTCCTCGCTTATTTCTTAGTAGATGTTAGCATCACGGAACCTGAAAAAGAACGACATCACATATATGATAACCGCATATGCCAGGAATAAACACTGAGAATGAAATACCCTAGCTCGCATTAAAACTAGGCAACTGCTTACAAAGGCAGAAACGTCAAAAACACCGTTATTAGCGGCTTATTCAAACCATTGGAGTGAAATCGAATGTGCTAGGAGTTGAATCCCCGAATTCGAAACGTTATATCTATACCTATTTGGTACTAAACACCAATTTGAAAGTTGCTCATCCAAAACTTGTTCGACGAGATGAAAAGATAAATGACTTACTGACAAATGATAAGGTTGCATGACACCGAACAATGTAAACCAGTTACAAAAAAAGCTTTGAAAGCAGCTATAGTGTGAAGAGGATGGCTCGGAGGGCAATATAATTTGTGATTTCAACGCCCGTTGAATTGAAAATGCAGGGGAAGGGATGATAATGAGAAGGAGGCTCCAGAAATAGCAGTAGAAACATGAAAGCAGACGAGATTACGTCTAGTCAAAATCACCTCAGTTCCTATCACACCGTCCCTGAACACATCCACCCTTATTATGTTCACGGTGGGTTTCATCGAAGCCCAGCGGACAAGCAAAACGATATAATACACCGACATTTTTGTAGGGGTAGCCGAAATAGATCCACAATCGGAAACCATGATTTAACCAGTCGAACAGAAAACCTGGTCGACGGACTACTTGAACTCAGCCCTTTAAACACCGGGTTCCTCTCCTCTCCAAGGCTTAGTCTTAAGGCTTCTCTCTTCTGTGCTCTAGTCATCGCGGCAGGACCACTGAGGAAAAATCAAGTAGTCCGTAAACCAGATAACCTTTGCACTGGGTAATATTCACCATTGTTCCTACATGGGAATAAGCGCACAATGGTTGGCCAACGCTGACTGTGCACAGCTTGATAGCCGACTGTATATGAACAGAAGATTCCTGCTACTTGAATGACAATGATTGAGAGCAAAGTAAAGCGATGCAGCTGGCTCACCTACTTTGAAGTCCCTCCCCCCCCAGGCATAGCCCCAAAGGGTTCAACTCCACTCTTGGGATTTAGAACCGAGCCAGACACTGTCCTCAATTGTCTGTGCTCTGGCCTTTCCCAGCATAGCACATAGGGAGGGTTCAAGCAGTTACGTGATCCAAAGGCCGTATACAATCCTCCCCTGAGCGGTTGGGGGACGGGAATAAATTTAAATTTTCTCTGTCCTCCCAACTGGGATTGTCCTGATAGAGAGCCTACATGTGACAATAAACTGCTTCCAGCAGTTTATTGTTATCCAGCGGAGTATGGTTGAAACAACTTTTCCACACTTTTATCAAGTACATGGGTGCCGCGTCATTTCCGGTGACATGCCCAATCAGACTTCAATATGTGAACTGTATGCGAAAGTATCCACATTCCATATCTCCAAGTCTGATTGGGCGTGTCACCGGAAATGACGTGGCAGCCACCGCACTTGATAGATGTCGTGTGGATAAACTCCGCCAGATATCAGCAAAGCGTGTTGGAAGCAGCTTATCCGCGCAACTTCTATCAAGTGCGGTGGCTGCCACGTCATTTCCGGTGTCACGCCCAGTTAAACTTCGAGATGTGGATTGCACAATTTGACGATGGAAAGACAGAAACAAAAGCGTTGTGGCGCATCAACACAATAATTCAGGCTCCTTCGAAAAAATATCAGTAAAAGTGACATCACCCCTAAGCGAAGAGCAGTAACAAAAGTTGTAGCTGCAAAATGAGCAAAATGAAAAAAAAACAACAAGACCAAAAGACATTAAACCCAATAATTTGCTCAGTATCAAACTTCAACTGACCTTTGTATACGTTTTGGAAGAATTGCAAGGTTTGTAGTCCTGACCCATCAACTCAGTACAGCGGTGAAAGTCAACGTAATACGCAAAGCACTGACGCTGCTTGCGGACCTAAAACACAACAGTAGCCAAAAATTCACGCGAATGGAAAAGCAGAATAATAGTGTTTTCAGAGCACTGCATGAAGAATAAGTAGGATCAGGACCGCTCCACACTTGAAGTGTGGCTGCAGCAGGCAGAAATCACGCTATACGGGCGACTACGTCAAGGCCGCGTTCAAGGGAGGGAGTCGCGAATAGTACGAAAGCACCACCGACTCCTGCACGCTCGCCTCGGCCACGCTTCAGAATGTAAAAAAGTCATAGACCAAATAAGTACATAACACTCAGGAGAGAGCGAAAACGCTGCTCGCAAATGCCCACAGCATGAGGATATTACAAGCCTACGCATGTTTCCACTTCTACTCATTTCAAATCACAACATGTTCCCATCAATCTGTGCACACAGCGCGAAAGGAGGGATCCGTTGCACAGGTGCGGTTGCTAAGACAGAAAGCAACTTTTCCACTTTTCGCAGAGGGGACCCCTTTTGGAACTGGGGTTCGCCCAGCAAAAAAGTTTCGCACTGCGGGAAGCGGAAAAGAACACAGGACTGATCCCGCATTTACAACTTACTGAGAGATTCTCAACCAACCTGAAATTTCTGCAGCCGTTCCCATGTGGTTGGAGTCATTTAACGTCTGCAGGCATTCTGAAAATTTTATATGAAATACGAAAAAGATCTGTGGTAAATTATGTGGCGCATAGGACACGAATAACAGTGAAATCGCTCACATTGGGCCAATCATTTCGCTATGCATCACAATTATCACAGGGACAATATAAGAAACCTACGTCACTTGGAAGAATTTAACCATCCCATCCGTTAACACGACCTACCCTTCTGTATAATGACGCGGATCACTCAATATAAGAATTTACACATCCACAACGGCACGCGCTTTCTATTCTTGGTTGCATGGGACGTAGGCAATTTTGTAAGCGCACCTCATCGGGTGTGTTTTACTAGGACAGAAAGCGACTTTTTCGCGTTTCGCAGCGCGAAACATTTTTCGCTGCGGGAACCTCAGGTCCACCGCTGATCATCAGTGGACCCGAGGTTCCCGCAGCGAATCATCAGTGGACCCGAGGTTCCCGCAGCGAACAATGTTTCGCGCTGCGAAATGCGAAAAAGTCGCTTTATGTCCTAGTAAATCACACCCGTAACTCATTCGCTTTTGTTCCCACTGACCTGGGGATAAAAGGACCACATCCCAAGAGAGTGGGCATGAGGGCAGTCATCATGCATACCGAACCCGTAGCTGTTATTTGCTATGAAAAATTTGTGTAAAAAAAAGATATAATTAAAATTACATGACTCGTTTAATGGGTGCTTCCTAAGAAAAAAAGGTATTGACAAGGATTTTTAGATTAATTATAACAGATGGTGTCGCATGTGTGATCATATTCGCCGATTAAGCAAATGGCAAAACCAGAAATCTATTTCTGTCCTTTTGAACAGATCTGGCTCCATTCAACGGTTGAATAATGATCCAGATCTGCTGAAAAAGACAGAAATACCCTTGAAGAGGGTCGGTTGAAATATCACAATCAATGATATCACAATCAAATGAAATTGTGGTTAGAATGAAGGTAACATTCCTTTGATTTTGCAGTTTTGTTTCCATCATTTTACTGTTCCTAATTGTATATTCGCTCATGAATAGCTTTTTTAATGTTAAAAACACCGACAAAAGAATGCAAACAAAGCTGCAAAATCAATGATTGTTGGCCGATGGGGATAAAGGGAATAAATGAAATGTAGGCTCTCTACCAGAGCAATCCCAGTTGGGAGGACAGGAAAAATTCAATGGGGTATTCGTCTCCGAGTAGCACTATATAGTATTTCGACAATTTCAGGATTTCGCTCCAAAGCTTCGATCATCAGTCAATTTTAGAAAACATTCGGAAACTCATTCAAAAAGGGTCAGAAAGGGGTCTGTTGAACTGCGACATAAAGCAATAAACGAACCACAAAATTAACCACAATAATAGAATACATCGAACAAATAAAAGAATGACTCACCTCAGAGAGCTGTAGTGCAGTTCAACTCAACGCCATCTAAAATACATGTAAGAAAGCGTGGAAAGAGTCAAGAATAAGAAGAAGGGAGAGTCTTTTGAAAAGACAAAGGGCAAGGAGATGAGTCAAAAAACCCAAAACACTCAAATCCTAATCGAGTCAAGAAAAACTCAAAAAGAAACAAAAAAGCACTCACCTAAGTACGCCGCGTTTCATTGCAGAATGTTGTAGAGTGTTGTAGTGCAGTTCAATCCACAAATTTCTGAAATACATGTAATAAAGCAAGCAAGAAAGGAGAAGAGAAAGAGAACGGCCTGAAACCCAAGGAAAACAATAATCAGGAAGCGAACAAAATGAACTTTTTGCATGGAAATTACTGGAATTGATTGCTGTTGCTGTTGCTAGTTTCTCGTTTTAGTAAGAATCATTTTCACAGAGGTTTTTTTTTTCAAAAAACCAAACCTTTCAAAACGAGTGAATGGCAACGAAAAAGCGAACAACAACAACGTGCACAATTTTTCCACCTCGAAATGGTTACAGTTCAAGACTTGTACTATCGCTCTGCAGCGTAGCTAAGCGCCTTTAGCCTCAGGCTAAGCCTAATCATAAACTTAAGCCTAAGACTACACTTTAGGCCTAGGCTTATGAGTGAGCTTAGGGCTCAAACATGAGTCATAGGCTAACCCTGAGGCTATATGTAAGCATAAGCCCAAGAATTAGGCTTAGGCTTATGCTTACACATAGGCTTACGCTTCCACATTTAGGCCTACAGGCCCTTAACGCGCTACATCGGAAAAACTACCGAAAAAAACGAACAGAAATCACTCAAATAGACAAACCCAGTAATTTCCATGAAAGTGACGCTATTGATTGATGGTGACGTCGTTCGTGGTGTTATGTGTGCATACTGCACCACAATACACCATCTCACGTCATCAAAACTGCCATCTACCATACACACTGGAAAGGCACAAATTCTTAATTATCGGCTCAGATTTTGCCCAGCCAAATCGGTGCGGTCTAACCGCACATTGTGCGATAACACCGCACATCTGCCTTATTTCTGCCTTATCCATTGGGAAAGGCAGAAAATAATTGCAGTTGGATGGAAAAGTTTTTTTTTCAGAGAAAGAGAAGAGAAAAGCAGTTGGAATCCGGACCCGCGGGGGTTTTCGACCATGCTGAATCCAACGGTGCTGGTCATTTCCCATGATGTTCACTGCCAGCCGACATACAGCTCACCCCTCTGTAGATGCCCATCTCCATCCAAAATCCATCCCATCGCGCCGGCTCTTCGCGCTTGTAAGCCTCACACGTGGCCACGCCCACCTCGCCATCAACGGGTGCCGTGCCACAGGCGCCCATGGAGTACAGCTGCGGCGCCGTCTTCGCCAAGTCAACTACCTCCATGCTGCATGGATCAAGCTGATATTTTGAACCATAGCTTTTCACTAATCACCCAATTCACCAAAACATTTTCGACACATCATTTCACTTCATTCCACCAGGGAAAGGGCACGAATTTCGCTTGTGTCGGGGTGTGCTGCAGGTATTAGCTGAGATAGTCCAGGGCACTGCTCAAATGGAAAGCTTGATGATTCAGCACTTTGTAGTGTTCGCCCTAGGCCCTCTCGCACATACACACTATTACAGTTTCTCTGCTGTCTTTCCTACCCTCAAAACGTTTGGTCATATATGTGTCTATATATACGACCAACCCCAGGTACTACAAGGCGCGACCCCAGACTGGCGACATCCCAAACGACTCAAATCAAACATCAAACACCATCAATACGCAGATTAGACTCACCTGTGATTCTTTATTACAAGTAGAAGCCTGAACGGTAACAAACTCTTAAGCACAAAACAATTCATACAAAAATTCAATGCAAAATGCGGAAATTACGAAAAGGCTGTTTCGCCCTCTCAACCACAGACAGCCGAAAAGCAAGAATGGGCTCATCAGTGTGGTCTATTAAAGCAATATTATAGAATATACACATGTCCACACTTACACACACACACACTCACACATACGACCACTTAAACACCCTTACTGAAACATATAATAGCACATACTATCTAAAAATCACAAAAAAAATGAAAAGAGAACATGTCAAAGGAAAAATATCCGTATTTCATACACACGCACACATTCTAACATCATAATAAAACGCAAAACAACACACACGATAAGCAAACGTGCACATAAATGAAGAATCGCACAAGAAAAAATGAAGAACACATGTGAAAATGCGAAAAGACACAAAGCAATAAGCATACCTGTACCATTAAAATGCATTCACACCGAAGTAAACCCTGAAAGTAAACGAACACATGCAATTAGAGACTCACCTGTTGAGGGGATGCTGAAAAAACTATGCATTTCAGCTAAGAGTGCACCAAATACATGTAAAAATTCGAGGCGGAACGAAGGCATGGCGCATTCTCACACTCACATTCGCTCACAGCCATCCACCACCAAAATGCAATCATAGAACGAAAAAAAAACATTTTCATACACACAAAACACTAGTTACCCATGTTAGTGAAGTTTTGCTCAGAAACCCCTACATTTTGGTTACACGAAATTTGGGTTTGTAGAATCGGCTAGCTGGCCGATCATTCGGCCAACCAGCCGAACGATCGGCTAGCCAGCCGATTTCAACCAGAATGGAAATGGTGGCCCCCTCAGTTGTTCAATACGTCGATTTCGACATTTTCCAATGCTTGTTCTCTCCATTTAGGAGAGTTTTCCAAAATTTCTCTGACCACGAATTGAATCGGGTCGGATCTTATTAGTACCTCAAACTTGGGTAATTAAACCAAAGTTGCTCAGGTGGCCTGCAACGAGGACCTGCCATGTAATGTACAATTTTTTAAAACCCTAAATAGAGCATTTTACGCGGGAAAAACTAATTTTTGAACATTTATTACAAAGTTTGTAAAAAATTTTGCCTTTTTTCCCGATTTCATTGCACTATTCGCTTTGTAATTGAGCATTTATAGCAGTTTGTAATCAATATTCAGTTGTTTAATAGAATATGCTGGATAGACCACTACACAAAGTTTCTTCATCATTTTTTTTCAAAATTTGGATAAAATCCGTGTGTCTGGCATTATTTAGAGGTGAAGTTAGGGAATTGTACGGTAATCTGTGAGGACACTGTGGATGCACTTCATGAACATCCACATTACCCTATCAAAATGTAGGTGGATGCTTCAGTAGGATATGAGTCGCTTTATCCTGAATAGCTGGCATTGGTTGATGAATTTCATAAGTTCCTAAGATCTATTCATTGAAGCACACCGTCTCTACAAAAATTAGCAGATTCCGTATGTGAATCTGAAATTCATGCAAAACCAGTGATACCATTGAATTTGTCGTGGTCGATTACCCATGTTAGTGAAGTTTTGCTCAGAAACCCCTACATTTTGGTTACACGAAATTTGGGTTTGTAGAATCGGCTAGCTGGCCGATCATTCGGCCAACCAGCCGAACGATCGGCTAGCCAGCCGATTTCAACCAGAATGGAAATGGTGGCCCCCTCAGTTGTTCAATACGTCGATTTCGACATTTTCCAATGCTTGTTCTCTCCATTTAGGAGAGTTTTCCAAAATTTCTCTGACCACGAATTGAATCGGGTCGGATCTTATTAGTACCTCAAACTTGGGTAATTAAACCAAAGTTGCTCAGGTGGCCTGCAACGAGGACCTGCCATGTAATGTACAATTTTTTAAAACCCTAAATAGAGCATTTTACGCGGGAAAAACTAATTTTTGAACATTTATTACAAAGTTTGTAAAAAATTTTGCCTTTTTTCCCGATTTCATTGCACTATACGTTTTGTAATTGAGCATTTATAGCAGTTTGTAATCGTTGTTTCATAAAATATGCTGGATAGACCACTACACAAAGTTTCTTCATCATTTTTTTTTCAAAATTTTGTATAAAATCCGTGTGTCTGGCATTATTTAGAGGGTGAAATTAGGGAATTGTACGGTAATCTGTGAGGACACTGTGGATGCACTTCATGAACATCCACATTACCCTATCAAAATGTAGGTGGATGCTTCAGTAGGATATGAGTCGCTTTATCCTGAATAGCTGGCATTGGTTGATGAATTTCATAAGTTCCTAAGATCTATTCATTGAAGCACACCGTCTCTACAAAAATTAGCAGATTCCGTATGTGAATCTGAAATTCATGCAAAACCAGTGATACCATTGAATTTGTCGTGGTCGATTACCCATGTTAGTGAAGTTTTGCTCAAAAAACACTACATTTTGGTTATATGAGAAGTTTGGGGTAGGCGAGCCGTCGTATGCGACTGCTGGCCGTCGTATATGACGGGTAGCTGCTTGTGGGACAGTCGACCATATACGTTTGTCGTCGATTTCGACATTTTCCAGTGCTTGTTCTCTCCATTTAGGAGAGTTTTCCAAAATTTCTCTGACCACGAATTGAATCGGGTCGGATCTTATTAGTACCTCAAACTTGGGTAATTAAACCAAAGTTGCTCAGGTGGCCTGCAACGAGGACCTGCCATGTAATGTACAATTTTTTAAAACCCTAAATAGAGCATTTTACGCGGGAAAAACTAATTTTTGAACATTTATTACAAAGTTTGTAAAAAATTTTGCCTTTTTTCCCGATTTCATTGCACTATACGTTTTGTAATTGAGCATTTATAGCAGTTTGTAATCGTTGTTTCATAAAATATGCTGGATAGACCACTACACAAAGTTTCTTCATCATTTTTTTTTCAAAATTTTGTATAAAATCCGTGTGTCTGGCATTATTTAGAGGTGAAATTAGGGAATTGTACGGTAATCTGTGAGGACACTGTGGATGCACTTCATGAACATCCACATTACCCTATCAAAATGTAGGTGGATGCTTCAGTAGGATATGAGTCGCTTTATCCTGAATAGCTGGCATTGGTTGATGAATTTCATAAGTTCCTAAGATCTATTCATTGAAGCACACCGTCTCTACAAAAATTAGCAGATTCCGTATGTGAATCTGAAATTCATGCAAAACCAGTGATACCATTGAATTTGTCGTGGTCGATTACCCATGTTAGTGAAGTTTTGCTCAGAAACCCCTACATTTTGGTTACACGAAATTTGGGTTTGTAGAATCGGCTAGCTGGCCGATCATTCGGCCAACCAGCCGAACGATCGGGTTTAGCCAGGGGCGAATGTTTTTCAAAAAACCAGTTAATGGAAATGGTGGCCCCCTCAGTTGTTCAATACGTCGATTTCGACATTTTCCAATGCTTGTTCTCTCCATTTAGGAGAGTTTTCCAAAATTTCTCTGACCACGAATTGAATCGGGTCGGATCTTATTAGTACCTCAAACTTGGGTAATTAAACCAAAGTTGCTCAGGTGGCCTGCAACGAGGACCTGCCATGTAATGTACAATTTTTTAAAACCCTAAATAGAGCATTTTACGCGGGAAAAACTAATTTTTGAACATTTATTACAAAGTTTGTAAAAAATTTTGCCTTTTTTCCCGATTTCATTGCACTATACGTTTTGTAATTGAGCATTTATAGCAGTTTGTAATCGTTGTTTCATAAAATATGCTGGATAGACCACTACACAAAGTTTCTTCATCATTTTTTTTCAAAATTTTGTATAAAATCCGTGTGTCTGGCATTATTTAGAGGTGAAATTAGGGAATTGTACGGTAATCTGTGAGGACACTGTGGATGCACTTCATAGACATCCACATTACCCTATCAAAATGTAGGTGGATGCTTCAGTAGGATATGAGTCGCTTTATCCTGAATAGCTGGCATTGGTTGATGAATTTCATAAGTTCCTAAGATCTATTCATTGAAGCACACCGTCTCTACAAAAATTAGCAGATTCCGTATGTGAATCTGAAATTCATGCAAAACCAGTGATACCATTGAATTTGTCGTGGTCGATTACCCATGTTAGTGAAGTTTTGCTCAAAAAACACTACATTTTGGTTATATGAGAAGTTTGGGGTAGGCGAGCCGTCGTATGCGACTGCTGGCCGTCGTATATGACGGGTAGCTGCTTGTGGGACAGTCGACCATATACGTTTGTCGTCGATTTCGACATTTTCCAGTGCTTGTTCTCTCCATTTAGGAGAGTTTTCCAAAATTTCTCTGACCACGAATTGAATCGGGTCGGATCTTATTAGTACCTCAAACTTGGGATAGGTGAGCCGCCGTATACGACGGCTGGCCGTCGTATGCGCCCGCCGGCCGCCTGCGGATTACTGACGCAGAGAATTCTATTATGATTACCCTAGAATTGCCGAGATCGGCTGGCCGAGAAGAGATGCACAGGCATCATAGATCAGATGCGATAGGTGAGCCGTCGTATACGACGGCTGGCCGTCGTATGCGCCGGTCAGCCGTCGGCGCGTGACAGGCGCAGAGAACTCTGTTTTGATTTCCTCGTCATAGCCACAATTGGCTTTCTCGAGAGCTTTTCCGGCTGCCACCTGCAATCAATCAATACCGCTCGCCCGGCCGCGATGATTTGGGTCCGATGCACGATGCCTCACACGAAAACAATGCTTCCTGGTTTGATCGCTCGCGTAACCCTGACTTCGAATTGCATTGAGGATATATTGGGTTGGAAGGAGCCGTTCCTGTTTGTAAGTTACTGGTGTTTTGGTACATATAGTTGTTGTCGAAGTCGAGTTGCGTTCGTATTGCGAAAGTAGCTTTCAGCAATAATGGCATTGTAGCTTTGAGATATCTGGGTGATTGAATGTTACAGGCTATGGAAAGTGACCACAGATTGCTTCCAAGTTGATATGAATTGTCTTTCTAGTGTACATGTTTTGGTAATATTTGCTCGTTGCCTGGGACTAAGCCTAGGACAAGGATGAAGCTTCGGGATTCTTTGTGTCTGGAGTATGTATTGAAAATGGATGTTGATGAAAACTTTGTGTATTCAGTGGATTTAGCAATGGGTGAAAAGCTTAAGTTCGAAATTGGAGCTCATTCTTCGCAGTATGAAGGGAAATGACATGGCGGCAAGGACGCCGTAGCTGCACTCCATGGGCGCCTGCGACACCGTGCCCGCAGATGACGAGGTGGGCGTGGCCACGTGTGTGGGTTGTAGCAGCGAAGAGCCGGCGCGATGGGATGGATTTTGGATGAAGAAGTGCATCTACAGTGTGGCCAGCTGTATGTCAGCTGGCAGTGAACATCATGGGAAATGACCAGCACCGTTGGATTCAGCATGGTCGAAAACCCCCGCGGGCCCGGATTCCAACTGCTTTTCTCTTCTTCTAAAAAAAAACAATTTTGCACCCGGCATGCACCCATTTTACGTTATCCAATGGATAACGTAAATGTTCGTCATATACGAACAATGTGCGTATATAACGAACACGATTTTGGCTTGGCCAATAGTTAAGCGACAATTGGACCGCGATTTACGTTTCCACTGGGTATCGTAGTTGGATTTTGCCGGGATTTGTGTTGTTTTGCGGTGTGCGTGTGCACCAAACACACTGCGAAGGACGGTAACATCAATCAATAGCGGCGATTTTCGCGATTGCGTTCATTTCCTCGGCTTCTTTTCGTTGTTTTTCGCCATTTGCTTGTTTCATGTGAGCTGTGCGCCATATATGTAGCCTAAGGTCGGAAGCCTGAGCCTCTGTGAAAGCCTAAGCCTAAGCCTATGGCTAAGTCCTAGGTTTATGGAGGGGTTAGGAGTAGCCGATGTAACGAATAGAAAGCCTAGCCCTAAGCAATGTGGTTGGAAGGGTTGCGCGATAATTTCAGTGTGAAGGTAGAAGTTTAAGCCTATGTGTAGGCATAAGCTTAAGCCTAAGTCTTGGGCTTATGCTTGCACATAGGCTTGGGACTCACCTATGACATATACTTGAACCAAGCCTAAGGCTAATGGTAAGCTTGAGCCTCGGCCATAGGCCTATAATTAGCCTTAGGCTTTGGGGTCTCCTAGAAAGAGGAAAACGGAGTAAGAGCAGAGGTAAATCAAGGAAGTGAACGCGTATCTGGCATCGTTCATTGTTTTCAACATGTATTTTTGAATGTTATCGTATTGAGAATGCTATTTGGACGCTTGTCTCGCATAATCGTACTTCGCGTAATATACGTACTCTATATATTGCATGTTGGATGTCATGTCGCACTGACAGACCTGAGACTTCTGAGGGTGTTTATGTGGTTAATTATTTCGCTATTTTTCGAAAATGTTGTGGTGGTATGCGACGAAACTTGCGTAGAGTTGGGTTTGGTCTTAACAAACCACAAATGAGACTCATACATTCCTGCTTTTAACACACACCAATTGCTTGTCCTCACTCCCACCCATGATTGGCTGCACTCTCTGGTTCTGCGGATTCCTCTGATTCCCGTAACATCATAGCAGCGGGCCGTTTCCTGTTCACTGCGTAAAGCTAACGTTCCTCTTTGGTGGAAATTTCCGGTTACGTTTGCAAGTTCCAGTTTCTTTTCTGAATGACAATCTGTTTTATTTACATCAGCTCACTGTTCCAAACGAACTTGTGATTCTCCACTGCACTTGGGGCAGAATATCGATCCTGCTTGCTTCTCTATCTGCTTTTTGTTTTCCTTATTATGCTTTACTTCGTTTTTCGAAACGGGTGAAAATGGCTTCAACGGTCGGGGAGGGGGAAGAGGGGGGGGGGCAATTTATTCTGCTCTGCGGCTCTAATGATAAGGAAGGATTAGGGTGAGGGCGAGATCAACGTTAGGAAAAAGCTACGATAAATTTTCGAACTAGCTTTCTGAGCTAATTGTGAACTACGCCCTTTTTGTACGCTTCAGCTTGGTGTATAACTTAAGCCTAATATTCCTGACTATTGTTCACCTACGTTGCATTTTGCATCATCCATGTTTTCCAGGTCACAGATACCTATTTGAAGGCAATCAATACGGGAATCACATCCCTATCGGCCAACTACAGGTCCAGTGTTACGGCTCTAGCTGTCTCGAAGGACCACAATGAGCGCATTTACAAATCAGTGAGTTCAGCTTATCGTTTCCTGCCAATATAATTGCTTTACCGTATGGGTTTTGAACATTTTATTTTGTTTCAGAACATTTCTGGAAATCGTGCCAATGAGCTGGCTAAAATGGCAGTCTTTGTTGCATAATTTCTGACCATTCCGGAAACGATGCGGCTCTCTAAAGTCGTCTAGGTAAGTCAGAGACTGAATATTTTAATTTGATAACCTTTTTTACAGGATAGTACCTTTTTTAGCACCACATATTTTCTTATGCTCAACAAAAGTCACATTCAAGTGGTTCTTATTCCGTTCCTAGACTCAGCGCTAAAGTTACGTATTTCTAGACTCATTACGAAAGCGGCGCCATGATGACACACCTTGTGGTTGGCGTTATTCTTCTTGTAACTACCCTCTTCGTTCTTGTATAGGTTGCCAAATGAGTACTGAGTGAGTTGGGGTGGGGCGGGACCACGCGGCGGCCGGCGTGGTCCTTCCCCCAACTCCGGGTGTGGTTCACTAGAACAGAAAGCGAATTTTCGCACGCGAAACCTTTTCCGTGCGGGAACCTCAGGTCCACCGCTAATCATGGGTGGATCGCGCAAAAAGCGAAAAATTTGCTTTCTAAGGCTGGTGTCGGAGTCCGCGATCCGTCACAGGTTTCGTGCGACGGATCATACAAATAACAAGTGCCCGATCGATACTGCTCTCCAATCCCGACACCATTTCTGCTTGATGGTGATGGCTGAATGACGACTGTTCATGATTCTACTTGTTTCATATTCAGTGTTTCAAATGTTCAAATGGGGCAATTTTTGCGATTCGAGCGAATAGCGCGAAACCTGCGACGAATCGCGGACTCTGGCACAAGCCTAACCTAGTGAACCACACCCTGACTCATCCCTCCCCCGGTCTCTCCTCTTCAAAGCTCAGTCTTAGGGCGCTCATACTTCTCCTTGCAATTTGGATCTAAGACAGGCGTCGCTCTATAATCGTTTGTGTTCTAGCCATTCGTGGCAGGACCATAGAAGAAAGCTGGAGCTCGAAAAAAAGAAGAAAGTTTGAAAAGTCTCTTTACGCAAGTAACGTCTCCCATACGACTATCGTCTCCGACGTTGAGTGGAGTCGATTGTGCTGTTGAAGTTGCCCTGTAATATATGACATCTTAGCTCTGCTCCCCATTTCCCAGAAGTGCGTTAATCGGGGGACATGGTATATGTGAATCCTTTGATGGCAGCATATAAAGCCTTCAATCACGACCGTCTACCTGCGAAAGTCTTGTCACTGGTTAATTTGAGGAGCATCGGGCGGAACCTAATAATAGGCAGTGGCTTATGTCATCTTCCGAATGTGTTCCTTAATAATCTCATTATTGTTCTCAATGGCTTTCCAGTATCGGCTGCTTTCTGATTTCACATGGGCTGACAAGAACTCATTAAGCATATGTCAGTGGGCATATGGTTAAATGTCTCAGTGCATTTAGAGATAATTAGTTCGAATTGTTCTCAGTAAACAAATGAGTATTTATTTTTTCATTCAGGACGATTCTCCGTTTGCAGGCAGGTAAATGTCAGTTGTCGGAGTCGCAACTAGATGCATATCTACGTTCGGAGGTTCGGAATGAGCAGCGTCGAAAGCTCTTACCAAGAAGAAACTGTTCAGATGTAAAGCTCGAGGATGAGAATACTCCGCGGAATGACTACCGTATTCCAAATTTCCCTCCTCAGGTAAAGATGTTTGGCTGTTCGTGTGCAAACTGAAACATCGGTTGAGCTCAAATGAGAGTTGAAAAATATGGTTGATTAGAATGGAATTGAGGTATAAGTGCACAAGTGTGCGATCATGTTTCTGTTTTGACCTCGTGTAGTCATTTCGGGATCGTCATTATTGATAATTTATTGAACATTCTTTGGATCGAGTTTCATTCCGTCACGCAATGGTGTCCACATTTAGTTGCGTATCGCACGTACAATCGATATCACGATCCTTTCGCACCGCGGATTGTGCGCATTTGACATTTTCATCTAACCATAATTGCGGAACGGTTACCTTAACGAGGCGAAGAATAGGACTCGAATTAGTACATGGTTGATAGCTTCCTTCAATTTTAATGAATAATGAGAAGGGGAACTAAAAACTCGCTCGTTCATGCTGAGTTCCGGTGGTTTTTATTAGGGCATGGCATGCTTTTTTGTTGCTCAATGAATATGCGAAACGGTCTCACGATGGTGCTTATGAAAGGAAACGACGATTTCTCACTTCATCTCCTTTGTATAAAGCGTTCAGTTTTCGCACAATGTGGAAGATTGTTTGATTGTGCACAAATAAGGTCTAAGCGGTGTTTTGTAAATACCAGCGTTCGCATATCCCTTTGTATTTTTAATGCCACAGCGAGGAATTTCTTCACGGTTATGTTTTGTTTACGTGGTGGTTATAAGGTAGAAATAGGGTTAACGGACTACTTGAACCCGGTCCTTTGAGCCGCCTCAGATCCATCTCACGTCTGCGCTCTCACCTTATCATGGCCATTGTGATCACACACATTCAAACTTTTGCCACACTGTAGTTGGCTCACCCACCTCCAAGTCCCCTTCTCCTACAAGGCTTAGTCCAGCTTCCACCTCCGTCCCTGCTATTTGCAGCCGAGCCTGGCGCCGTTCTTACTGTCTGTGCCCTCCGTGGCGTTCGTGGCAGATCATGGACGAAAGTTCAAGTAGTCCGTAAACCGTAAATAGACATCGTTGTGGTCGTTCCATGCGAAACAATCGAAATACGGCTCGTACTATAGAAAAACAGATTTCAGTTTAGAAACAGGT